TTAATTTTTTTAAATTAAAATTATATTATTTATTAAAATTATTAGCCCTTTTAAGCTATATTTTTTTCGATAGTCTACAGCAATGGTTCCCAAATTTTTTCATTCCTGGACCCACCTAGGCAAGTAATTCAATCCCAAGACCCACAATAATATTTTTATATTGAAAAATGGGTAAAAATTGTATCCATTCAAAGCAGTCAAAAGCATATGGTGTGCGGCTTTTTGGATTTTGCGATTTGATATGCGCAAAATGAGGCTTGATGTGCTTTTAGTGGCATACTGACTGTAACTGTGATAATTTTTTGTTGGCGAAGATACGCTTCTTTTTTAAAAAAAAGAGAATATGATCAACCTTTGTTGACATTTGCAAAATGTGTTGTTGTCAGGTGCCGTTTAAGTTTTAAGAGTTTCATGCTAGCACTTGCAAGCTTTTCTAAGCATAAAAGACAATGCAGGACTTCCTTACCCTCTAGACCTCTGCCGGCAATAAAACTAAGATCGAGGTAGGACTGATCATATTTTCTGTGTGGCTCTTTTTTTAGATTTGGTTTGATCTGAACATGTTTCAGAAGTCTGCGACACCTTTAGTTTTAAAACCTTTTCCATTTTACCAAACACTTCACGGGTGCGATCATGAGTGCTGCACGCTACTGACGTAGACACGTGACAGTTCAACACAAATGAATCTGACTCAGTCATTCAATAAATGCTGATTCACATTGTTTCAGCTCATGTGTTATAACCTAAATAATTCATTCGAAAAACTGAATCATCTCTAAATAGTCATTATCAAACTGGTTTTGATTCTCTGCAACATAAACATAGCTGCAGCTATAGTGACATTGCGCGACCCACCTTTCCTCACTGTGCGACCAACAGTTTGAAAACCCCTGGTCTACAGAACAAACCATCCTTATACAATAACTTGCCTAATTACCCTAACCTGCCTACTTAACTTAATTAACCTAGTTAAGCCTTATGTACTGTCATCAAGGCAAAAATAAAATAAATCAGTTATTAGAAATGAGTTATTAAAACTATTATGTTTAGAAATGTGTTGAAAATATCTTCTCACCATTAAGCAGAAATTGGGGAGAAAAATAAACAGTGGGGCTAATAATTTTGACTACAACTGTATATTGCGATATGAAAATATGTTCACCAGTTTGGAAAAATTTCATTAATTTAGACGAGCTGGAGTGAGCAAGTCTTTTTCTATGTAGTGACATCTCCATAAACTCCATAAATTACAAGCAAACAAAAATAAACAAACAGTGCTTGCTGATTTTCCAAGAAGTCAAACTAAGAAATTGAACAATAAAATGTAAAATAACATTTTAATTTTCAAAAATTATATTTAATATTATCTTTATCTTTAATCTTTAAAGAGCCATTTTTAATGGGTTTTTGAAAATGACAGTCCATGTAGTGTGTAACGCAGCTCTAAGTGAAGTGAAATATCCAGCTAAGGCTTAAATCTGAAAGTGCCCTGTGTTTAAAACTATTGATTCATCTATAAAAGAGTCAGCTCAAAGTAGTCCAAATGAATCGTGGAGGTAATGAATCTTTAGCTGTGACGACGTGGCGTCGATTTGGAACTCAAGCCCCACCTATTTGTTGCACGTGCAGACCAAAGAAAATTTAAACCCCCCAGCCACTATAGCACTACACACTATAGCAAAAAAGAAGACAAGACAAACACTGTAGCAGATCCCAGTTGAATCATGTCGCAGAGACGCTGCGCTCTGAAGTGTGAGGGAAACTTAGTGTCAGTGTCCCTACCCAAAGATGAGGATGTGAAGAGTCAGTGGTTGAAGTTTATATTTGCAAAAATACCTCAGCATTATAGCCCCAGCCTTGTGCTGCGTTCCTGTCATTTTTCTAATGAGTGCTTCAGCAATCGACATGCTTACAACAGGGCATTCGTCAGCCGTTTGTTAAAGGACTATTGGTGTGTGGGACTTTGATCCATAAACTGTGTACTGTAAAGTTCCTGTCAAGCTCTGACAGGAACTTCACAGTAACATTTCATGGATCAGTTTCTTCCTCCATTTCACAACTGTACGTAACTTAAGTGCAATTAAAATGGTCGTGTCCTTGTTTTCTCTAGCTTGCAAATTATGTAATTATTTTTGTTGTTACTTGTAACTGCTCCACGCGGCTTGTACTGTATCTGGTTATCTCTTTATATTCTCATATCGTGTCTAAAACCACATTGAAGGCGCATACCGCTTTGTTTACGAATTTAAATTTGTCAGCTCGTGATCTACTGTCGTTTGTTGATGCTATGGCCACCATCAGCTGTTTCTACACATGTGCGGTGGTCAAGTTTTAAAATAGTTCAGTTTCTGCCACTGTGTGGATTAATACTGAATGTGTGTCATGGTTAAGAATAGATGAAAAGTGTTTAACTGTTTAACTGCATTGCTTTAATGCACTCCTGCCTTGGGCTCACACATACACTCTGCACTCTGACTACTTGTTGAGAAGCCTTGCTGGGCATTTCTCTCTGTCTTGCTGATCGCAGTCGGCCAATCCCAATAGACTGGGTCATCGGACCAATCAGCACAGATTAGCATTGCGCTAAGGAGGGGTTTGGGAACAAATGAATCGCTGAACGAATCATATGGAAGTCGCTGGGATAATTCGATAAAAATAAATGTATATAATAAAAACAATGAAAGAGTTTTTGACCTTGCATGCACATCAACCTGTTGTTGGAGACCCATATAACCAAAATATGACCTTTTTTAATGCATAATAAGGGCTCTTAATAAATAAACTAATCCTGTGATGTTCAATGCTCAAATTGTTTAGCCCTAGTATGCACTTACACTATAAAGTCTAATATCACACCATATACTCAATCATTCAGTGTATGAATCTTAGAAGATTATTTTGCTATTCATTATCATAATCTGAATGTCCTGCACCCTCAATTTAAGCTGTTAAATGGATAGTTCACTTAAAAAAGATATTTCGGTCATCATTTACTCGCCCACTTGTTCCAAACCTGTTTTTCTATTCAACACAAATATACTGAAGATTGTTAGAGGGAAAACAAAGCCACTGACTTCCATAGTATTTTCTGTTCCTACTATGGATGTAAATGGCTGCTTATTTTACTAACATTCTTCAAAATATCTTCTTTGGGTGAACTGTCCCTTTAAGGTTTCCCAGAGATGGGTTGTGGCTGGAAGGGCATCCACTGCGTGAAAATGTGCTGGATAAGTTGGTGGTTCATTCCGCTGTGGCGACCCTAGATTAATAAAGAGACTAAGCCAACAAGAAAATGAACGAATGAATAAATGAATGTCCCTTTAGGTTATAAGATTTAACACTTTGATATCTCATTTTAGGGTGGCTCAGTGGTTAGCACTGTTGCCTTACAGCAAGAAGGTTGCTGGTTAGAGGTCAGTTGGCATTTCTGTGTGGAGTTTGCATGTTCTCCCTGTGTTGGCATGGGTTTCCTCAGGGTGCTCCGGTTTCCGTCACAGTCCAAAGACATGTGATATAGGTGAATTGAATAAACTAAATTTGGCAGTAGAGTATGTGTGTGAATGAGTGTGGATGTTTCCCAGTACTGGGTGCAGCTGGAAGGGCAACTGTTGTTTATAACATATGCTGGAATAGTTGGCAGTTCATTCCGCTGTGGCGACCCCTGATAAATAAGACAACTAATTTTGTCCTAAATGAGCTTAAAAAGTTAGGAAAGCAATGGAATGTTTTCATTATAACTTTAGATGTGTGCAGTTTTTAACATTACACCTCTGTTATTTAATGTAATCAAATTAAGTCTAAATAAACGAATCTTTTGTTGCTCTTTAATCAGAATGTGTAAGTTATACAGTGAAGAAAAGATTTATGAGATTTGATAACTTGATTCTATTTCTTTAATAATAATAATAAAACATATGACTGACCATTTAATAGTTTATTTACAATGAAACAGTCCCAGTTGAACGTATTTAGGGGGGTGGGGGTGATTATGGTAGGCATATCACTTATTTTCACATCCCAGTGTTGACAGGTATGGGTAGTACCATGACTTCCGATAATTACAGCACATGTTGGAGTTAATACAGCAAAAATTATATTCAAACAAAATAAAATACAAAATTTCACGTAAACCTCGGAAAAATTTGTTATTATTATTTTTATTATTATTGTAATTGTTTAAATGTTATTATTTATTAAAAACGTATTGTGTAAAATGTATTTACATAAATAATCCGTCACTTTACCTACATTGATTTTCCCCCAAGAAAAAAAAACACCCTGATTAAAAATACTACAGCTGGCTGTTTGTTGTCATTGACGTGTTTTTGTGGCGCTCGAGGGTGATTCGCTCAAGTTCAAAAGTTCATCTTTTACGATTCCTCGCGGACGTGCATATAAAAAACATTCCTCAGCAGCGCTTTAAAAGACCTATCTGTCCCCAAAACTCCAGCTCTATGCACCCATTCACCACATTACACACACATTTACTCCGTACGAGTGGAAAAAACACAGACTGCATTAACGCTACCCATAGAACTGCATTGAGAGAGCTCAAAAATAATTGAGGTGAAGTTGGTTTTATATTCACACATTTGGATTATTTCCTTAATAACATATTTTCAGAACTCTAAATAGACAAATCACATCAGCAGACAATGTTTATCAATGCACAAGATTTATCACAGTCAAATAAATAGTGCTAATGTTGTATTGAAGTCATATTTACATGTGATTTCAGTCCGAATATTCACAATAGCATAGTAAACATGTTAAGTTGACACTGAACAAATGTGCGAATATAAAAAAAAACTTTACCTCAATTCTAAAATGCAATATATTAATAATATTTACAAAAAACCCAAGCTAATTCAAGAGACAAACAGCAAAACAAAACCTAAGCGCTCCATACGAATGACCTCATGTATGCAAATTCAGATGATTGTAAATGATTGAGCATCATTACTTTCATGTGAATAACTAACTGTAGATTATAAACTCACGGTTGCTCAGTAATTTGTCGCGCTTGGAGAAGTCGTATGTGTTGGGTCTGTTCTCCACCTCCATCCTCCCTGCAGATGAGTGTCTCTCCTCGGTCCGCTTGCTGTCTGAGCTCTGACCTCTGCAAGCCCTCTGCACTCCGCGCTCCCGTGTCAAGCTCTGATGATAGCGGCAAACACCTTGCCCTGGTCACGTGACGACACGCCCCCGTGTGGCCTTCTGGGATTTGAAGTTCTTCGGATAGATAGATAGATAGATAGATAGATAGATAGATAGATAGATAGATAGATAGATAGATAGATAGATAGATAGATAGATAGATAGATAGATAGATAGATAGATAGATAG